GGCAGAAAAGAGGGGGTGTGGGTACTCCTGAAGCCCCACACATCTACAGTTTACCAAGGTTGAGAAACATTACTCTAACAGGTTGCGCTTAAAAGAATGAGTGAATTAATGCAAATTTAAATAGTTGATTTTTATAAGTAGAATCACTTTCCATTATGATAAAACCATAACAGTATGGTTTCACGATATGGTTTCACAATATGGGCGGTGACAAATTTGATTAATAATTAATCATATATAATAATAATAATAATAATAATAATAATAATTTGGAGAGCCCTGCTTTTGGGTGGTATCTTATACATAAATTATATACAGCACATTTTTAGAAATGCATTCATTCACTGCCAGTTTCAATGTGGCTACTTCTATCACAGATCCAATTACTGGGCCATTTTTTCTGATCTGTAGTCCCTGGGAATGGCTACCAAGGCAATCAAAACTAGTGCTTGTCTGTTCCTTTTTGGAAGAAAAAACCATTATTCAGCCTACCTTCTTTGATGCCTCCTCTTCACAATTTCTGGATTTGGGCTTAAAATGTATCCCACTGTGCTTGATTCTTCCAAATGTCCCAATTATGTCCTCATTCTTTCCTTTCTGTATTATGGCTGATTGGAGGCATTCCTTCAAGATACAGTGAATTTCAATTTGTAGAACTGCTGTTAATACATTGGAAAGGCAAAAGTTTACAAAATGAACAATGATAAAAGCAAATAGAGGAAGCAACCTCCTGCTAGGTAATAAATGAAAATGAATGAATTTAAATTTAAAGAAGCCAGCACCCAGTATTATGCTCCCATTTTTTTCAGTATGTCTATAATCTGCTTTTCACAATTGAGTCATCAAGAGATTAATTGCATCATTATTGGCCGATCTTTGATGAAAATCAACTGAAACTAAATTACATCATTAACTTACTTTTGAAAACCATATCATATTGTAAAAGTGAAAATGTTACAGTAATTGCTTGTGTAAAGTAAGAATATGCATAGACCAGCCAAGAACCCCACATAATGTCAACAGAAAGTGATATTTGAGGGGAGGAGCATCTAACTGCATGTATTACTAAAGGAAGAATAAAACAATATCTACTGTTGCTGGTACTCCATGTCTGCCTGCTTGAATATGATCAGCACATCTTTTAACTGTAGTTGACAACAATGCTATAGCATTTATCCATTTTCTTGTATGGTCAAGTGTTATTGCAACAAGATATTTCACTTGAGAGCTCATTAAATCCTAAGTTTATGGTTGGTCATTATTCTCTTTTTTGAGTCAGCATACATTTCTGAAGAATGCTTTATAGATATGCATAACCTGAATATGGAAAACATCAAAGAAACCACCTCTAAAATGTACCTGTAATGGTATGTGGAAATGACTTGCAAGATTCTGTTAATGTAACTTTACAGTAAAGTTATAGCTACTACTTCTGGGTGTTCTTGTCTGGACTACCTCACAAGGCTGACAACTGTGTTGAAAGTTTGAAAGTACATCTCTTTCCCCCTCACCTTTACAGTCCAAGAAACTAGGGAGGGTCCCTTCTGAGACATTTGTCACACCCATGTTCCTTCTGTGGGTTCAGCTGCCTCTAATCTGACCATTGCCTAGTCTGCTGCTCTTCCTCCTGTCTCCCAAGGTCATTTCCACATATCATTATACACCAGAAAGGTTCTTTCTTTTTTCTTTCTGAAAATTTGGTATGCATTTCTTGCATACTATGGAAAATGATAGGAATTAATAAACCTGTTCTAAAGGAAAACAGTAGTGGGCTAAATGGTTATGCTTATGAATTGTTTACTTATCAATTAATTCCATTCTTCTGCTTTTCTTTTCAGTGGGATGTTCTCATCTGTGTATTCGTGCCAGCTTCCTTGGCTTGGGTATAGCATCATATTAGCACCTGCCTTTACTACAGTCTGTAACTAATAACTAAATAAAGGATGCGGAGATTTGTCTACTGCAAAGTGGTTCTTGCCACTTCTCTCATGTGGGTGCTGGTGGATGTGTTTCTCCTGCTGTACTTCAGTGAATGTAACAAATGTGATGACAAGAAAGAAAGGTCCCTGCTGCCTGCTCTAAGGGGTAAGATGAAACTTGATGGCACTTGTTGCCACCCTTGACATAGCTTTGATTGTTGCTCAGCGGTGCTAAATGTAGTTTGAATGCCTAGGTAAAATATTTGAATTGGAATTGTTGGCAATAATGTAACAAAAATCCTTTAAACAACTCAGACCTGAATGTTGTAAAATGTTTTCCCGGTACATGGTTAGGCTTAAAAAGATATTAAATGCAGTGCAGCCTTCCTCAACCTGCTGCTCTCCGGGTGTCTTGGGGCTACAACATCAGAATTCCCAGCCAGCTTACTCAAAATCTGTGCTGACTAGGAATTCACAGAAGTATACTCTAACATATCTGGAGAGTAGCAAACTGAGGAATGCTGATCTGGGCTATTATCTAAGGTCTTTCCATCTGGCATTACACTCAGAAGTTCACAAGACGCCCAAACAGCAACTCTTCAGATTGAATTCTAAACAGTAATTCTTCCAATTAAATTTGAGTTTGGACATTTGCTACTGTTCATCAAGGGAGTGTAAACTGTTCACACGATTGTTTTTGGAGAAACAGAAACCTATGACCTTCAAGATAATCTAGAACTTTGCAATTTAAAGATATTGATTAGTAAAATAAATGAAGTTTTCTAATGGTTGTTTTTGGCTTTTAATATTCATTAATGTAATACACATTGTTCATTCACAAAAGCAGTATGGTTCATTGTAGAGAAATAAGTATCCAGAGCAAGTAATCTTTGTTCTAAATACCTATGTATGTCCATACCATACCATACCATACCATACCATACCATACCATACCATACCATACCATACCATACCATACCATACCATACCCTACCCTACCCTACCCTACCCTACCCTA